ACATCTATGAGATTAAAAATTTATGAATTCACCTAACAGTTAAATTTTAACATTCTTTACATTTCATATCAATAGTCGTAACTGAAAATAATTTTAAATTTTAAATTTATTCCGAGAGGAGTATTGATAGAATTATATCGAAGCATACGTAACTCTACATTCCGTAAAATCTAGATAGATAAAATTTTTCATTAATTGCTATAGTTTGCGATCCTATAGCATTCCTATAGATAACGAATGAACGTTTCCTCTTTTAATCCCTTTATACGTACGTCGAATAAAAACGTTGTTAAATCTGCGTGTAATGTGGATTTATTAAAGGTTGCATTAAACACGACTCGTACGTAATAGTACTCGTCGTTAATCGTCATTCTGTGGGTAGTAACAAGGTCACTGGATGTAACTCTTTATTCGTAATAAACGCTGATCACAGTCCCGTGGATTACGACTTAATTTGGGAGCAAGCATTTATTTCGCCCGAATTGCTGAAATGCGTTATTGTTTTTTCCTTCACAACAGGTTATACATGTACCATCTTTGTTTTCGAATACTGTTATACAAATACACATATTCTGTATTAATTGGCTTCATAATTGCTAGCTCATGTCGCGTGACACTACGATTTTTCGAATTAAGCAAATTTATTCGTTTCCTTTTCTTCAACGAAGTGAACTCAGGAACTGACAAAGTTAGAAATTGGAAACGTTTTGTTAAAAAGATCTCTTTTTTAATTGAAATCAAAATTCAATTTAAATTCAATTAATGCAATCGACAAGTTTGTCACACAGTTTTAGTTAATTTTTTCCCTTCTTAGATCATAGTGATATCAAATGCTATTAAATTATAACAATCTATATTTTATTACATATATAATTTGATCAACTTATAAATCTCAGTTGAAGTTTTTGTTAAACGATTAGAGCTTTTTCTTGAAAAATTATTACCTTAGCAATATTAAATATTATTAAATTAATTATTTATATTATTCACAGACCAATTAAAACTATTATACGTTATTCTCTATATTTATTTAGAAATATTTTACTTGAAAAACAACCTTAGTCATGAAATGTAATAATTTAATTAAGGACAGTTTTTTTGTGATATGACAGATAACATTCAGAGCAATTATACGAAAAACTGAAATCTATCTATCTGTTAAAAAGACAATCAAAGACACTAAAATAGATTCGTTTTTTTGAAGAGGAATAAGAATTGATAAACATTATTTTTGTTATTTATAATTTTCTATATTGATTTGTCTTTCTTCCTAGTTTTGCAAGTTTGAATTTTTCTCATCTAGTCTTGATAATAAATTCTAAACTAATAAAATAATGATAAATTTTAATATCTGTTGCAAAAATTCGAATCCATTATAACGACTATTATTTCTGGTTAAATCATTGAAATAATTCGTGCCGCATAAGTGCTCCTTACGCACATGTAAATTAATTCTACGAATGTTATATCGTCCTGGTTGAATAAATCAGACAGCATTCTCTCTCTGAATTTGTGATTCAATGTGGTGTAATTTAATAAACAAGTTGACTAATTTGATGAATATTGTAATTTCACAATGATGTTTTCTGTTCTACAATTCTTTTTCTTCGCTTCCGATTTTTAAAAGAATTTTTCGACTATTTCTTGCTCTTCTGTTCATTCCAATAGTTAGCGTTCTTTTTTCGTTTTTTAATTAATTTATTTAGAAATAATATCACAAGCTTCAGTATTTTATATTTTGATTAGAAGTAACTGTATGAATGTGAGAACATACAAGTAAATGTATGTATCTCTTTAAATAGAAGTGATAACGTTAATTTTTGCGGAGTTCCCGTCCCTTCCTTTCAACATGGATTTTCCCACGAAAACGTAAATGAACACCGGTCGCACAGATACGCCACAAGCTTCATGCAAATCAGAGTACTCTATCTCATGTTCCATGAATCTTCGTTTCAGTCAATGCTCTTTCAAAGGCGTTTTTCATAAATTTTTTTAAGAAAATAAAATATACGTACGATAAACAAGCATAATTTTGTATAAACTAAAACTGGTATATTTTTTCAGTTTCATTGGGAAGTGTTGCATACTACGACTTTCTAATATTGTAGGTGAATAAATAAATCTTACTTTACGAATTTACTTGAAAATTACATATCTACTTATATGTTCCTCTTTATTTTTATTTTATCTATCACTAAGTCATTTATTTATGATAATTATCAATTATTATTATATTCTTAATATATCAATTTTATGTCATAAGTTTATATTATATTTACATCGAATATGGTAAAATCTAAAAATATTCTTTTTCCATACTATAATTAATTATTCATTCCATACTTTATTTCCATACTTTAATTGTGAATTTTAAAATGAATACAAACAATTATCATTATTTCATTTTTTATCACTTGTATGTAACTAAAAGTTACACATACACACACACACACACATTATTTCTAGTTACATACAAAATGATAAAAAATGAAATACTGATAATTGTTTGTAAATTTATAGTTATTTTGAAATTCACAATTTACGGCAATTAAATGCAATTTCTTTTTTGTTAATTAAAATGAATAAATAAAAATTTTTATTTTTATTAATTAGATTAATTTAAAAAAATTAATTAGTAATTTGAAAGAACAATTTAAAGGAAATATTTTAATAAATTAGTAAGTCTGCAATAAATATTTCTTTTCTAATTATATTTAATGCTAAATATGATTGCAATTTAAACCAACTTATTATCTCAATAAATATTTTGAGAACATTAAATATTTTATATACTAATTACATATAGTTTTTTCATAATTAAATAAAAAATACTAAATAATTAACTATTTTAATTTCATAAAACAATTTTTTGTACATTATTATATTTTCAATTAATTAAAATAAATTTTAAGCTAAATCAACAAATCTTTTTTTAAGAAATAGAGATATCTCTGTACTATTTTTGTTTTATATTTTAAAAAAAGATAACACGTAAAAAAAATAACATGTGATTGATTGATTGCGCTCAGTGATATACGTTAAAATTTGGACATGACATTCGAGAAATTATTACACTTTGTTATAATACAATGACTTTATAATTTTTTAATCCATTGAAATATTCATTATTCAGTATTTTATCTTTCGTATTATATTTTACAATTTAATAAAATTCATGTATAATTTTCTACAAAATTTATGAGTATCGATCGTAAAGGAAGATATAATATCATTGAATAGTTTTATAACAAATACCCTTGAATAATTTTAAATTTATGTTTTGGATCATTAACATAGTAAAATATCACAGAACCATATGTTTAGTCATTATACTTTTTACTTCATTTTTTAATAAAATTTTTTCATCATTTACTTTTTTTTTTAGTAAACTTTCCTTTAAGATAATACAACTCTCAAATAAGTACATTTCATATTTTATACTTGGATACTTTATATTTTAAATTCTCAATCGTAAATTAAATTGAATTTTTGTTATTAAAACTGGGCGTTAAATGTTCTTTAATTATTAACAAACAATCATTTCATTACAATGAAACAAAATAAAAATTATAATGTGAAAATATGCAACAGTAATCTCTTGAAAATTGTATCCAAACAACAATTATTGCACAAGTTGGTCATCATATGTACACTAAATTCACTATGATTCGAAGAACTCGGACATTTTCATATACAAAACTCAACATATAAATAATTGCATTTTAATCAATCTTCTTTAATCGAAAATATTTAAATTATAAACGCTATGCTTTGTTATTATTTATATATATATGAAATTTCGTTTCGCTTTGCAAGTACATGTGACAATTAAGCGAATCTTTCAGCCAGGATCGATTACGGTTTGTTATTGAAGGGAGTATGTTAGTTGGCCAGGCTGAAATCAAACCGTGCCACACTATGATTTTCCGGTCATCCAATTTAACGAACGGTTGGTCGAAATGATACTTGACCGATTATTTCCACCCGGTGTCATTGAAATCATTTGCGATGTTCGCTGATTTAGCTACGTTCTAGCAAGGTCATGTATCAAGTTCCGCGAGTGAATTGCTCCATGTCCGGACTTCGTCGAGATGGTCTCAGACTTTGAAAATTACCGGTAACAAGATACGCACTCGTGTTACGGCTTGCCGAACCGAGAGAATGCATGTCCTTGTTCTGAATATGTCCGGTATAATGTCGCGCCAAGAGGGGTGTTACAGAAAAATGGCCGCGAAACGCCCTTGACAGCTAACATTCAGACCATCCAGGGGAATTTTTATGGAAAATTATCATCTTTTTTTTTGTTTTTTACCTTACAAATGGAAAAGTAAAACTTTGACATTTATTTTCTTACTGTGTATTTTATATATGTAGCGAAAAATGTTGTTAAAAGTTAATAAAAACAATTAATTAATGATAAAGATCTGCTTTAAGCATAGACAGAATTTCTGTATTTTTAATTTTATATTCTCCTTGGTTTAGTTAGTTTAAATTTAGATATTTAGATACACTTACTTTAATATATCCACGGTGCTAAAACTTTAAAACTCTTTATTACTATTCAGACACCATGCTATTCGAAAGGATATATATTTCTCTATGTATTTGTTTATGATGCTTATAATGTTTATAGTACTATTAAATTCATTGTTGTAATTAGTAGAAATATGAATTTAATTTATACAATGCACATAATTAAAGCAATAAACCAAATACTGGAAAGTTTGAAAAAAATTTGAATAACAAGATCACGTTAGATTTATATCAATTTTATATGTGAAATATTAAATATGTATATACAGTGAAAAGTATAACTGAAAAATTGTCAATATTTTAATATTGTTATAACTTAAAAGAAAATTGATCTCATTTTAAACAATAAAGCTTTTACTTTGACAATCTTGAATTTGCTTTTCTTAAACATATTTTTACACCATTTCAAAGGAAGTAAGTAAAGATATCTTTCTCTTTAAAAAGTTTTATAAATTCAAGTACCTCTATAGACATTAAAAAATTTTTTTCATAATTAAATTCGGTATGATTTTAAAAATTGAGGTCCGTTTACGATTTCTTAAAATTTGCTTGTATGATTTTGTTCACCATTTTATTGAATTTTAACTATTAAAAATTCTAAGATTCCATCGTCTAACTCTAATGTTCAAAGTTCAATAAAACGCTGAAAGAAAATTCGTATAGCAAATTTTGCTGTGAAGAGAAAAATCAATTTTCGAGACCATACATTTTAGTCATAGAAAAAAATTTTTCAACGTTACTTACAATTTTCAAGAGTAAAAATATCCCTTAACTTTTCCACACCAATCATGAAAGGATTAATAACATTGGAATATATACATCTCGAAATTATTCGTTTTACGTTTTAACATTTCTCGCTGCGGATAATGATAATGACGAAAATTAAGATGGTAATATCAAATGAGTTACTCTGTATAAATTTAGTATCATAAAGATTTACGATAAATATAAAAATGATAATAATTTAATAATAATAAATAATAGTAAAAATAATGATAATTTGAATAATTTTATATCGATTAGTAAAATAAATCGATTTACCTGTTGAACCTCTGAATTTAATCAAAACGAAACTTTTGTATAATTTTGTAAAAGTATAAAAGAACGTGTTTGTTTGTTTATGATTACTTAGTATATTATATTCGAGAATTTAAAAAACTGTAAAATACTAAAAAAAAAATACTAAAAATATTAAAAATTAGGATGAATTATAGCATATAAAAATTTGGATTAAGATTAGAAATATACATAACTAAAAATATTTGCCGTGTATAAAATGTTTTTCGTGTAATGATGAGTATATGAGTGCTTTTAAATTGATATATAATTACAATTTTTTTATATTATATGAAAACGATTATTAAACTCGTTTTATAAGTAACTTAAAGTATTTATAATTTGGAAATTTTGCAACATTACATTTATTGAATACAGTTTTATTATTTCAGCTATTAAATCTATTAAGAGTTGAAGAAAACTTTTTTATTTTTATATTTTAGTGATATCAAACGTTATTTATCCTTAGTTATTATGCTTACCTATGCTATTCATTTAATTTAAAGAATTTTTTTAAATTTAAAAAATATTTATGATCATTACGGTTATTACGGATAAATTATAACAAACTAAAAAAAGAAAGCTACTTTGATTTATTTGAACAGCATGAATACCTACTTGTTATTCTGCTTAAGAATTTAATAGGATAAGATTATATGAGAATGTAAATAATACATTCTTAATACCATTTCTGCTGCAATAAATACTGAAATGCTTAGTGCGAGTTTTAAATAAAATGTTTGGCATCTTTATCATGACATAAAATATGCGATATCTCGAGTATTAATGTTTCGCGCCTCTGCGCGAAAAGAAAATTACATACTTAAGGAAAATAATAATCGATTAAATTATATCTTTTTTTCTTATACTATAGATTTTTTTATACTCTCTTATATATTAATAGAAAAAAACTATAGCGTGAGGTTTTACTAGAGTGAATTGTAAAACCAGTACAAAGTTACAATGTACGTGAGATTATACAATATTTCTTAGATTGTTGTGTGACACTGAAAATTCATGTTATGTAACATATTAGTTTAAAACAATCTTTTTCAGTTCGTTTCTCGCTTAATACGATACGTTTCACATCAGTAATAATAAACACGTATTCTTATCACTGGCACACTAATCATAACAGACGTATGTGTGTCACAATGACAATTTAGCACGTACAAATTTGTTTTAAACCATCTGCTTGAAGTGCTGTCGCGAGAATGTACGCAACTAAAGCATATTTCCTACGCGTATCACGTAGAAATGCAATTAAACTCGCTTATTCATGTTATTTATATTAATTCGCTGTTTACTTGAGTTTTCATTGCTATTTAGAAATTGAAATTGCAAGCTGTATTGATGGATTTCAACTTCTCAGTAAAAGTGAAATTTTCTTAGAGAGACAGAGAGAGAGAGAGAGGAAACTTGTTATCCTCCGAAGTGAAATTATGTAAACGTATGCAGACACTCACCACCGCCACTTTTGTAGCATAGGTAAGGAAACCTCCAAACATTCCCGAGACCAACAGAGTAACCAATACAAGCAAGGACAAATTGAACTTTGTTCGCCCACTGTGGTCGTCTTGATTGCTTGTAGTCCCCAGGGTCTTGAGCGTCATCTTCAGCATCATCGAAGCTGGTACACACGGACAAGTCATCCTCAAATGATCTGAAATCGAATTAATTAATTTCTGTAAATACAATTGATAAATACCAAATAAATTGCTAAATGATAATATTACAACTAGGCTGCGGACTTTTATGCATTTATAGAAAATTGTATACGATGCAATATAAGAAATATCTAAAATGTGGTAAAATAATTCTCTACCGAAGTTCTATCACTTTAATTATACTGGTATAATTGGTATTAAAAATGCAATTAAAATTTTTATATGGTCTATTTTAAATTCTTATTCTTAATACACAGAATATACATTCTGTTACCATTGAAATAAGTGATATTCTAAATTCTATGCACTAGTGAGCTCTCCTAATTACATATGCATGATCTGAAATATCAGATAAAAACAGTCCAAGCGCACTCGGCATAAATTAGATGTTGGAAGAACAATCAATTATAGAATAACAACAGAACATATTGTAACGAACGACATTATGCAAGTCATTGCATATTTATCAAGCACGTTCCTCCTAATGCACGTTCTATTTACCGATCTGTAGATGGCACGACTTCTATCAAAAACGTCATGCGTAATATCCATAGATACCATATTTTACTAACATCCATCAACAGAAACGAACCGCACGTCACATTCAGAAATTCTTCTTTTCTATCTGTCTTTCTAAATACTTACGAAACTTACGACAAACCGGTTATCTTCCGCCGTCGTTTTTTTTCCCAACGATTCTAAATTAATCGGAAAATTTATGTGTTTGATTTATCATAATCGCTGGTAGGATGTAAAAAATTTATCGTGTGCTCATCTTGATTAACGTCAATGAAAAGAAAAAAAAAAAAATAGAGAAAATCGAGCTGTAAGGGACCCTTATTATGATTAACGATCATGCGAAACAGGGGGTACCTACAACCATAACGATGAACAACCTTGATACCCGAGTGTTATATAAGTGGCAAGAATGAAGAAGAATTTTTACGAGTTCAACGTGTCCATGGTACTCGACACGGTAGATGCGAAAACGATGTTACACCATGATGGTAAGAGTTATGGCAATTGACAAAACTCGATAATAAATATGACACACCTGTGTAAATTCACCGGGTGTTTCGCAATGCGTGAAAAAACAATGCGTAAATGGTTATAGGATCTATAGGAAAATAATAATAAATTATTACCCACATATGCGCATATATATATCATAACTAAATTTCAAACGAGGACACAACATCCATTGCAGCGTAATTCCAACATCGTTTTGTTTGCAACTGTATTAACAACTATAGAAACAACTGTCGCAAAATAGAATTCTAAATTTTCATCTTTTTACGTGGAATTCAACTTGCAAGTTCGCCAGACATGATAACGAATTGAATTAATAATGTACACTTGCAAATCTGCGAATATTGGCGAACAGAATTATATAATTACAGAACCAGAACTAGCTTGTATAGTACTTTTGAAAAATATAGAACGTAATTTAGACAAAGCAAATTTATTTTAGAAAGGATAATAATATTTGAATATTGATTGTAAAATAATTGACGATTGCACAATGATTTAAATTAATTCTTAAAAAGAATTCTATCATTCATATATTTATATTTTATTATCCATACGTCCTTATTATCCATATAGTAAACGATATATAAATCAAAAAATAAAAACTTAATATTTGTTTAACGTATCATGATAATTAAATACATTTATCTAAGGATTATGGATGACATAACCGAAATTGGAATCGATTTATGATAATTCTGTTTATTACATGTTTAAATAAACATCTTATTAGTTTAGTAAAATTTGTTTGTAAAGTCAAATACCTACTAAAGCTCAATTTTTTATTTAAATAATATCTATAATATAAATAATATAAGTAATAAAATTTAAATAATATTTATATAAATAATTTTTTATACTCTCTGTACTTGAAATGTATTGAAATATATTCTGTACAGTTAATGAAAAATTGGAAGAATTGAATTCCAAAATTTTTATAAATTTTATCTAGACGATTTTAATAATGAATTTTAATGAAACAAGGATGTTAATCAATATTTTAAATGTTATTAATCGAAGTTTATAACTGACATTCTTCAATGTTGCAAAGGTGTCAATAAAACGTATTAACGAATAACTAAATAATACAAAAAGTGCAAATTCCAACTTAATTATTAAATTATTAAAGTACTTAAATACAATATCTTTCGATCAAATTCTTTATATATTAGCTTCGAATTACATTCACTTTCTTTAGCATAGGTAATACTGTATTAACAAACGTCCCGTTGAAAACCTACTAACTGCAAGTGAAATCAAAGTACACAATTAGGTGCGTTATTTCGCTTTGAATTCATTACCGCGGCCCATAGAAATTTCGAATGTGGAGCAGCAATTACGACTCTTTAAACGGTCCACTCCAATTTCAATGAAGGAAGCCAGGCAGCTACAACAATATACCGCATGAACACCTACTTATAACAAAAGTATGGACTTACATTGTACACCTATTATCCACTTACGTCTCTGGGACAATACGCTGGAATTGCAGTGGCTGGATGACGAGACCACGCTCCACAAGCAATTCGGATGTACGCGGCATCTCTCACCACCGAAATCTTGACTTAGGAAGCATAACAGCTTGATTTACACTGTCGTAGCATTTTAAACAATTGTCACCAAGACGAGGAAGTTCACTTCCCTATATTCGTCAAACTTATGCGTTTCTAGACACGAAGCGCCGTTCAGTTTTTAACTCGAAATGCAATTTCCTAGATACTAGTACTTGTAAATATTTGTTCAACGAAAAGATGTTTAAATACATAGATAACTGGAAGGCTCGTTTATCGGGAACTATGATATACTGCGCGGAGCTGGAAAGGAGTATCGCGGGACGCCAGACTTCGATCAACTAAATCTGACCAAGTAGGTCTCCCTACATTTAAAGTATTAAATCTGTCCGAAACAACCAATCAGACCCTCATTTCTTTCATTTATCTTTCAATTATTTTTTTACGCGACTCGTGTTACAAATGCATCACTGGTCTCTGCTTTTATGAAATTAGGCAATCACTTCTGTTTATCTTTATCATTAGACGACTGATGCGAATCATGCGGCAAAAAAAAAAAAAAACACGAAAAATGAACATTATTTTCGAGATGTCGTGCTTAATTACTTGAAAATATTTTGATGTCATAACATTGTCTCATGTATTATCTAACATTATCCAATATATTATCTATAATAATTGAGTACACTGATTGTGACCATTCGATTCTTTCAGTATACAGATAAATCGAAATGAAATATTTAATGGCTATTATGTATTGTTTTCTACATTCATCGTATTCTATACCTGTGCAATAGAATTTTTACCAACTTTATCGAACATGTTCACTCGAGAAAGTACAGTTTTTAACGGATTTTGATTGAAATAAACTCACTTCATCGTTAAATTTATTCCTCTGGTCGACCTCATCGGAGTTGCCTTATTACATGAGAAAACAAACAACAATCAATTATATCCAACTGACATTGCCAATTATCAATTATCACTGAACAACATTATAACTATAGACCAGTTAATAGCAAGATAATGACTATCTTATCTAAGCCCATCAGCCTAGCCTAACCTTGGCAAGCCAAATCCTCTTCCGGCCAATGAACAGTGATCCTCGCTACAGAGTGAAACCTAAGCTCTGGCAAGCGTAAAGGTATCGAAGGAAAACCACATGCAGGAAGTCGGAGAAGGAGGAACTACGGAACATGATTCATAGTCCGCTCCTTCCGACGCTTCTCGCCGAGACGCGCACGTTAGATAATGTAGCTCACTTACGGCGGCGGATGTACCATGTTAAGCAGCTCCGACGGCGAAGTGAGAACTCTACGTATCGTGAGTTTCCGGCCGTTGGAAGAGCCCATGCCGATCGATGCTAGAGAGCGTATAGAGACGGAATCGGGAAGCGGTCGCACGTGAGTTTGCCCGTTCCCGTCGGAGAAGACGATCGATGCCCAGCTGGCCGCCGGTGGATGATACTGGTGTTGATGATCATCCATCGTCGGATTAGATTTCACCGATCTCACGCTGGAACAGTGATACCGTCCACCATGCGAGTCGATCCCTCGAACGGACCTAAGTATACCCTGTGGAACGTCTCGGTGTAGCCTGATCTCGGTTTGACCGACTTGGTCTCCTGACATGGATTGTTGAAGTCGACAGTATGTTCTCTCGTGGATGCTGCTGATACTGTCGTTTCGAGGGAAGGCTTTCTTTACAGTGCCGTTACAGTGCAGGTTGCTCGAGCTCGTTGGGGTAATGACGATCCTTCGAGTGGTCGACTCGGTGGAGCTCAGCAAACGACTCCTTCCCTCGGACGGTGAATCCGAATCAGCGTCGTGATGTTGATGATGCTGATAGTGCTGATGTCCTATCCTTATCACGTCAGGATCCATATCGTCCGAGGCATTCTCCTCCTCCAGCATCGTGCTCATCTTGCGCACGCAGCTGCTCTGCTTGCCGATCACGCTCTGCAGACGAACACTGTTGCCGTGCGCATTTGTCTTGCCCGCGATCGTGTTGTTGCTGTCGTTGCCGTTGACGCCGCTGTTGCTGTCCGTAGTATTCATGATGGCATGGCGATCTAATGGCAGAAAGAGAGAAGAGGAAAATCACAGACAGAGACAGAAATGACGATCGAGCCAGCCCAGGTGAGAGAGGGAGGAAAAGACAGAGATGGAATGTGTGTATAAAAAAGAGAATGAGAGGGGGAAGAGAGAGAGA